TGATAGATTATATATTAATATCTTTATTGACAGGTGTATTTGATGCCTGCCTCCCCGACCAGCAGCACTCGCTTCGCTCGTGCCGCAAATGTCGGGGGCAGGCATCAATTTTTTTCAACGCAATTTTTAACGTACTTTCGACCGCATAGTAAGAAAACTAGTATACACTACATGGGCAGAAATTTGAGAGCCCTGAACTGCGTGCCATGATGCCCTCGGCTTCGCCTCGGGCATATGGCGCGCAGTGCAGGAATCTCAAACTTTCTGCCCTTGTAGTGTAATATACTATTTTTATTTCAACGAACGTATGTTTATTAAATATTCATCAGCTTAATTTAACTAATATCTGATTTTAACGTTAATTTTTTTAAATATTCAACAAAATAAGCTTAAATGATTAATCTAATTTAATTAGCTTTTTCAACTTTTTCACAGAATAATTCAACAAAATTACCTTGTTCCATTCTCAAAATAAAAAAACATCTTTTTTTTTCTTTCAAGTAATTTCCATTCGTGTTTCAATTCTGGCATTAATCAGTTATAAAAGTTTCTGACTGTAATAATTCAGTAAATTGAGTTAGTAAATTTTGAACTGCTTAACCTAAGTTCTAGTTCCATCTATTATTGAGCCAGTGAGTATAAGCGCCTTGTACGAAGGTAATTTGCGATGCCTGACGTACAATGGTTTGCCCTTAAGTCTAATACTGTACAGCTCATATTTTTTTTTTTTGACAAACTTAAGTTATACGTGACGTATATAACGTATACGTGAATATTTTTTCGAATAATTCTAAATTTTCTAATCAACAGAGATATATTTTTACGAATGAGAAATTTTTTCTGTTGATTCAAATGTTATTTCTATTTATATTTTATCTTTCCATTGTATCTTACATTTTTTTTATTATTTTATTTTATTTTTATGAATATCTTCAAACCTAACTTTATTCGCCAGAAAAATAATACGATTTTATTCTTATTATGTTTTATATGTATACGTGCATAAAATTTTTTTTATACTGGTTACAGATGCGGGTGTTTATATCTTACTGAGATTTTTATACCCCAAGAAAATTTAATGATAACAAACTTTAGCTATAAAATTACAACTTTTCAAAAAAGTAACAACTTTTTTTTTTAACAAGTTTAATTATAATTAAACTTTAGTTATTATCAAAATGACTGAATACCCAAAATTATTCTATCTATCATCAATTGTGTTAATTGATCACTTAATAAATCATTCTGTTAAAAATAAGTTTATTTGATTGAGTTGTTGATTAAAATTTCCAAGAATCTAGAATATTATGATTTAAAATTAGACAAGTCGTTTTTATCCTTCGACGTATTTTAATATAAAAGACCAGTGACTGTCGCTCAAGAACACCTATAATTAATAGTCCGATTATTTTGATATATTTATTTGTTAACTTTTCTGTTATCTAATCTTTAAAAAGTACATTGAACATATCTGAATAATCACATTTATTATTTAATGTAAATCATTGACGTAGATTTTTAGAAATAAAAATGATTTTTTAACGTCATAATTAGATAATAATAATGATGGTTGAATTTAGTCACGTACTATAACATTATATAAGCAGATACAAGTAATAATTATCATACTGTGACTAGAACTACTGTTCAAATCAGTTTATCCACTTCATTAGTTTTTATAAAAATTGTGTGTTAGATATAATTTTACTGTTAGTACAAACTGAAAAAATGAAAGTTAAATTTGTTGTCTTTATTGGAATTTTGGGAATAATTCTCCTTTGTCCCAATTCAGAAGCAATATCTAAATATATATCTCAAGAATTATATGCTGAATATTTACCTAAAATAGCTTGTTATTTCAAACAACAACATTGTAGTCCCGAAGATGCTTATTTCAAATGTAAGTACATTTTTTAAATATATATATATATATATATATTTTTTTTTTTTTTTTTTTAGAGCAAGTACTGTACTCAAATATACTAAATATCATTTTTTTTTTTATAACAGAGGCATTTATTTGATAATTATTTTTTCTGTGTCGTATCACAGCCCAATTTCCAGATATTGTTGGCAACGAATGTTCAAAATGTGATGCAAAAACTAAAATAAAAGCACGAGAAGAAATGCCAATCATACAAAAATATTATCCTGCTAAATTTAGAATCTTACTAGATAAGTACGTTATTCCAAAAGTTTTCGATTGTCTTCTCTATGATGGGCCTTGTGACAAAAAAATGACCCTTTTCAAAGAAAAACTGCCATTTATGTTGAAGAAAAAAAAATGCCCTGATTGTAGTGATGCAGTAAGATTCAAGATTCGTAAACGAATTAATTATCTGAAGAGGCGTCATGCCGAAAAATGGCGGGAAATTGAGAAGAAATACCTTCATTAATTTATATTGCTATCAATATATTTATATTATTACACTGTTTAGAATAAAAAAAACAGCTGTTAATAAAAATTAACAAATGTAAAAAAAATAAATTAATTATCAAAATTTTTATTTTATTACAGAATTTATTTTGATATCCTAATCTTGAGTACAAAAATTCCACTCTCAGTAATTTTGTATTTTCTTCAGCGCTATTTAATTACCTATTAATTATGAAGCGCTTTTAATCATTCAATTATTAATATAGGATTTCGACGCGTCTGAAGAAACGGAACCTTACATCGTACTAAAAAGCTCTCTGTTGAGTAAATTATAAGGAATTTTCTAGTAATAACTTGATGCACGTTAAATTTCTTATAATTCCATGATATAAACTCGCAAGAAATCTTACCGCTCGTTAATGCTTCTTCAAATAAAAACAAACTAGAACTTTAAATTATTATTAATATTAATAATAAATTACTTATCTATAATTAAACACTGTTGTAAATTTTTACTATAAAAATTATAGAATTATATTTAATTTTAAATAATCCTTGATCGTATAGGTGACTCATTTAAACCATTTATTATGTTGAATCAAGTTTCGATAGTCAATACATTAATTTTTATGATAAAAATAATCATACATGTACTTGAACGGAATATTTATTAGGGCATAAATGATTTACAGTAAGCTTCTAGACGTTTGAATGAAATAATCCACAGATTCGGTAGAATCTGGCGCCAAGTTCCGTTCAAATCCGTTGTCAACGGAGCGCCAGACTACCGACTGTGTTTACTGTAAGCAGAACGGTATTTTGAGGTTGCAAAATTTTATTTAATTCTACGGTACTTTTTTTTCCTAAATTGTATATTATAACAGTAATTCATACTTTATTTTACTGTTATTAATTAATTATATTCACTTATAACAATTAATCTACTTGAAATTACTAAATTTAATCAGCACAAACGATAGCAACGCAAAAATTTCGATCCTGACTTTTTGTCGATGGGCAAAGTGATCTGCCACAGACTAAAATATTCGAGAATGCATAGTAATCCTTCATAAGATGGGACACTACAGTTAAAAAAAGATATTTCACAACTTGCATCTACACCCGCCAGGGTGCGCTGAAATTATTTTTACATAAACTATAGCTTCAAGGGAATAGTTTGCTATAAAAAAATGCAGCCAACACGAGATTTAAGTTGGTACCAATTGTAAATTTTTATTAAAATTACAAAAAATACTAAAATCCGAACAAAAAAAGTTTCACTGTAAAAAAATCGCGCCAAGTCCACATTCATAAGACTATTAAGAAAAAAAAAATTAGTTTTTTCTTTACAAAAAGATAAAAAATAAAAAAATTAAAAAATCCTCGTAACCGATATAATTGTTTATGATTTTCGGAAATTAAAAAAAATTTTGCTGTAAATTTAAAAATTAAAAAATTAACATTCTAAATGATTAATTGTACATTTAGCACTAATTTAAATAGTACACCGTCGTCGATAATTAGATTTGGGTCGTTGAATTTTCACTCATGATAATTTTATGAATGAAGTGCTGCAAAATTAAATTTTGTACACTCCATATTAGTTGTATATTTACCACATTCATATTCATATTCTTCTTTTTTAACGGCGCATCTCAAGGATATATATATTTACAGTTAAAATATTAACATATATGTATAATCAAGAGGGTGATAGGTCTGTTAGTAACTCTATTACTCATCGTAGGTAACTCGACAGCAGAAAGTGTTGAGAGTACTACTCGATGTTAAAACTTTTACTCGCTTAACTTGTTAACAATGGCTCGATTGCATTGTCTTCCTTCACATATAATAATAACGCTCAGAACTCTGAATGCTAACGTATAAACCAGAATGTCTCCAAATGGTACAAACTCTGTTTTAAACGCTATTGGAGTTATGCTGCATGTTTAGTTATAATATGTAGCATTATATTTTAGCATACTATTCCTACATACTAACTGTGATTGTTCGATTTTGTGTGTGATTATGATTATGATTATTATTATTATTATCATATGATTACCATAAGATCCTTGACAATACCTTTTTAAGCAAGATTAAAGTTGAGAATCTCCGTGTTATGTAAATCTTTGTGAACTCAACAGTTTTAAAAGTTTTGTATGTAAAATAAGAGAAGAAGGGAAACATTATTTTTTTTTGTTCACGTCTAATAAAAGATTTATTATTTTTCATACACCTTCTATTCATTAACTTTTAATGTATACACTTTTAGTCATTAAAAATCAAATTGTTAAGCCCTATACTTTGTTCATAAAAAATAATTGCTGTCCAAGTAAAAGAATAGGAAACTTTAATTTTTTATCCCGCAAAAAGTTATTTATTATTCGTTATTAAAACTTGTTTCTACATAACGTGTAGGCTATAGTTGAAAGAGCAAATTATTATTGGGGAAAAGTGAAAGCCTCCAGGGTTTATATGTCTTATCTAAACTTCTCATTTCATCTGGGAGTTTCGTCCAACTGCCTGTGGAAAAAAACCCCACGGCTATTTGTATAGATAACTTTAAAAAATCTTTTGCGTCTACAAAATTATCAAATATTGGAATTTCATTCTTCTTCTATTTGATTTTTTGGGTTTAATGTTTAAAAAGGTATAATCCAAGGTATTGTCGATTTCAATAGTTCTTTTTATTATCAAAGCAAACTAATGATCTCCATAGTAATTTTCCGGCGAGTACAAGTACAGTGCACTGATGGAAGGATCTGTTAAAATTTAATAAGCTAAATTAATTGTTAAGAAACAATTTTTTTTTTAAGTAGAGAAAATAAAATTAATAATAAAACAATGGTTGCGAATAATTATAGGATTTTCTTGCGTCAGTTTGTTAAAAAATTCCCCATTTTTTGTTCGCCATTTTTTATTATTTTATAATAATAAAGTATTAAAAAATAATCGGCTTCAATAAAAATATCCAAAAATGAAACAAAATAAACGGCTTTATGTTCTCTCTATCGTCTCTAAAACAACTCGTTAAGTGTTTTTTTTTATTTACGTCAATATATTTGCTCCTCTTAGAACATCACTGTACCACTACGTAACATTTACTTGAAACCTGTAGGTATTCCTTCAACATTGAGTATTGAGTACAGACCTTTCAACGAACTGACTAATTGAAATTGCCAACACGGTAGTTGATTTTACTCAAAGTGTTGGTCATTCTAATTGATCACGTTTCAAAGACGTACAGACATGTCTTGCAATTAATCTATCCGTATAATTTAATAATCAAACCGTTTAATCAAATGCACGAGGAATATTTACTCAAATTTTACTCCCTAACTCACCAATAAACTTTGATGACTTTATTTAAAATTTTGTCTAACTTGTGTTTGCTATTCTAACTCAAATTTATTCTTCACATGACTTTTACTGCTCTCCGATGTGATAAGAGTTATCTTCAATTTCCATCGTAAAGTCACCCATTATTTCTTTGGTTTTATCTAAATTGAGTTAACTTATTAGAATAATTATACTGTATAATTATGAACATAAAACATATAGCAGGTGTGAACAATAAAATATATTCGCTTTATTGTCACATTCAAATCTTTTAAAAATAATTCGATGGTTACTTCTTTTTATCTTTTACGGATCAGTGATATGTGATTATCAAATACGACAATATTTTTATACTCAATGTTTGGAAGTACAAGAATTGAATTTGTTTCACTCCAACAATTTTTTGTAATAAATCTCTCTTAAACAAAAGCAAAAAAAAAATCGCGATGGAATCTACTTTTAAAATTTCATTAGTTCGTTTGATGGTCCGAACCTTCAAAGCTCTCGGAATCGTGCCGGTTTCTGCACAAATTAAACTCGCTCAAAACTATTTATCTGTAAACGTGAATCAATTGTTAAACAGTTTAATTTATAACTTCATTTTATCATTTTACTCTTTGATAACTAGATTTATTTCTATCCACAATTTTCTGATATTCCCATATCAGGTCATACATAAACATATCAAGGCCTATTAAAAATTCCATGTGGCCATATCAATAATTTTTTTTAACAAGTACAAATTAGTACTAATACAGCATACATGTATTGATGTGTGAACTGCAACTGCAAATGTTTGTGAGTTTTATTCTCACAATTTTAAAAACAATTGATTACAAAGATGACACTGATGAATACATTGCATTTATGATTTCGAAATTTGTAATCAGGAAAACATTGATGCAATTTTCCATGATTATGATTTTCATTTACAATAGATTTCACTCGAATAATGAAGAGTTATTCACATCGCATTCACTGACTGCAAAAAATAATTCAGCGAATCAATATTCTGTTATTACACGGTTACTTTTAACAAACGAAAATTTTACGGTTATAAACTCATTATTGTGAAAAATAATATTGTTAATCTTGCAAAAACATATTGATCTCTTCATAAAATCACTAAAAGTGTCAACAAGTTCTATGAGTTTTTGCGATTACCAATTTTTTGATGGTCATTACCTACAATTTATTCAGTTTGACATTGATTACAATCCGCCGACAGTATTGAGTGAATATGTATTATTTTTTGTTGTGCGGTCCATAACATACTTCGGTCGAATTTTGACTCACGCTGGATATATTTTAGAATTTTATCGGAGGTTTGTTTTCAAACACTATTCTGTTTTTTTTTCTTTTTTACTTTTACGAGAATATATTTTTACCTTATTTTTAATTGTAGATGGAAAGAACTGGATACTTGATATTCCGTATCGTTTATAAATATTATTTACACGCGGAAATCCAAACTAAATGAAGTTCCAGTTGAAAAAATTCAAACAAACATCCTTTATTTTTTATTCACTACTATTTACGTTTGATTCCAGCTACTGAATTCCACTGACTCATTACTACACTCATAGATAGATTTTACAGCTGCCGGGTTAGTCTCACTCGATAGCTCTCTTGTAACATGTGTAATGTATTTTTTCAAAAAATGTTTCAAATAAAAAA